TGATTTTAACTTTTGTGTGCTGCCAGCTGGGCTCAGACTTCACCCTTTGGAAGGATAACCACCATTTGCTCTAATCATGTAGACTTGTTGCAGCCTGGTCTCTCTGTTACAATAAAGTTACTGTAGACCCAACCGCCACTTACCATGTTATCTTTTTTCTTTAATGGGATGAAAGGTTAGGAGTGGGTATATATCCCTGGAATCTGGAATTGTGTCCAGATGACCATAAGCCAAGAGACGTTTTAGCTGTTTCGAATGTAAACCAAAGCCACATCTTTGTCGTGTCATTCCTCATGTCCAGTCCAACAACGCTGAAAATGTTGGTACAATCCTTTGGACCTTGGTAGACAAGTAAATGGAGTGCCTCAAAAGATCCTGTGGATAGAGGCAGTGATGAGGAGATGGGGAGGGGAGGTGGCAACTTTGGGTGTCTAGAGGAGTCAAGTAGGTAATATAAACAAACAGTGCATGTAAAGTAAAAAAAGTGATGTGAACTGGGTGTGAGATGATTGTCAGTGACCAGCCCACATCCTCAGAGATGAGGCATAGTAGGGAAGTAAGTGACAGGCACTGTGAAAATGAAAGCCCAGGGTTGCAGGTCTTAAGTTTTTTAAGTAAAATGGAAATCCTGATTTTTTTTTTTTTTTTGCGGTATGTGGGCCTCTCACTGTTGTGGCCTCTCCTGTTGCAGAGCACAGGCTCCGGACGCACAGGCTCAGCGGCCATGGCTCAAGGGCCCAGCCGCTCCACGGCATGTGGGATCTTCCCAAACCAGGCCCCGAACCCGCGTCCCCTGCATCGGCAGGCGGACTCTCAACCACTGTGCCACCAGGGAAGCCCTGAAATCCTGATTTTTATGGGAGGTCTATTGATGCTTAAAAGCTGGTAACTCTTTTTTTTTTTTTTAAATGATTTGCAAGCAAGATGCAAACAGTAGATCGCCAGTGTGCAGCCTCTACTATAAAGTTATATGCTCTGTCAGCAGACATCCCAAGGTAATTCTGTCACCTTCTGCTTAATGCCAGGAGCCACTCAGGATAGGACAGCTACTGGGCAGACAGGCAGTGGAGCAGGAGTCAGGCCCAGAGCCCAACCACAGCGTTCTGATTATTGTTGGGAGGGGAGAGCAGGCTCAACTTGTTCGTTCCCCCTTGCTTCTCCTCGCTCTCTGAGAGACACAGTATATGATGGGCTCACTCCTTCTTGGCTTTCTGTGTTCCTATTGCTAATGGATACACCAAGGTGGTAAAAGGTCAAGTGAATGGACTGATTCACCGAATGTCTTTGGGAAACTATCTTAAATGGGGAAACAGTAAACATATTAGTCAGCTGCTCTGTAAAGGACATGACTGCCTAGCTTAGAAGAAACTGCTTTAAGTCTCCCTGTCTGGAGCCAAAATGATTCAAAGTTGGATGCCAAGACCTCAGCTGGAAAAGGAACTTGACCACCCGACTGACCTTGTTATTTTTAAACACATGTATTTCCAGCTCACCCTGGACCAAGTCCTATTCCTCACTGAAAAGTCGTGTAGGGTGTGAACCTGATGTTTTTCTCACAGTTCAGTCTGTTGGCCATCAACCTTTTCCTCATTTCCTACTAGGGTCTAAGATGTTCTTCCACTTGATCGAGGAGGTAGCTTGCCTGCCCAGAAAGAGTAGTCATGCCTTGTTTACCATCAGTTGAGTTAGGATAGTTCCCAAATCTGGATTTTTTTTTTATTATTATTATTAGTTCCCTGGCCTTACCTCTAGGCACTCTGATTCAATATGTCTCAGGTAAGGCTTGCAAATCTATTTTTTTAAATGAGAAAAACAAAACTTTCTAGGTGGTGCAGATACAGCTGATGCATGGGCCAGCCATTGGGTGCTATTAGAACAACTGCCTTAGGCTTACATCTAAACAGCCAAAGTCCAGCTCACTCAACCAACTTGAGAATTTTGTTTGAAACTTTTTTCCTTACTTGTAGGCTGTGGAATTTTTTTTTTTTTTTTTTTTTTTTTTTGCGGTACGCGGGCCTCTCACCACTGTGGCCTCTCCCGTTGCGGAGCACAGGCTCCAGATGCGCAGGCTCAGCAGCCATGGCTCATGGGCCCAGCCGCTCCGCGGCACACAGGATCCTCCCAGACTGGGGCACGAACCCGCATCCCCTGCATTGGCAGGCAGACTCTCAACCACTGCGCCACCAGGGAAGCCCTGTGGAAATTTTTTAAATTAATTTTATTGGAGTATAGTTGATTGGAAAACAATTTTAATAGAAATTATTGGTTTATTTATATCTAATAACTGAAAGACCAACTTTTTCTTTTTTTTTAAATGATAATCTTATAAAAATGTTGAGAATAGTATTGCAAATCACATAACTGATAAGGGATTTGTATCCAGAATATATAAAGAACTCTTACAACTCGATAATAAAAAGGGGGTCTGAATAGACACTTCTTCATAGAAAACATACTAATGGCCAATAAGCACATGAAAAGATGCTAACATGAGTCATCAGGGAAATGCAACTCAAAACGACAATGAGAATCACTTCATACCCACTAGGATGGCTATAATCAGACAGTAACGAGGGTTATCAGGGATATGGGGAAACTAGAACCCTTACACAGTTGGTCAGAATGTAAAATGGTGCAGTTGCTTTAGAAAACAGTCTGGCAGGGCTTCCCTGGTGGCGCAGTGGTTAAGAATCCACCTGCCAATGCAGGAGACACGGGTTCCAGCCCTGGTCCGCGAAGATCCCACATGCCGCGGAACAACTAAGCCCATGCGCCACAACTACTGAAGCCCGCACCTAGAGCCTGTGCTCCGCAGCAAGAGAAGCCACCGCAATGAGAAGTCCATGCACCGCAACAAAGGCTAGCCCCCGTTCACCGCAACTGGAGAAAGCCCGCACATAGCAACAAGACCCAACGCAGCCAAAAATAAATAAATTTATTAAAAAAAATAAAACAGTCTGGCAATTTCTCAAAAGGTTAAACATAGAGTTAATATTTGACCCAGCAATTCTACTTATACATATATACCTAAAATAAATGAAAACGTGTGCACAAAAAGTGTACCTGAACATTCATTGTGGCATTATTCATAATAGCCAAAAAATGGAAACCACAAATGTCCAAACAACTGATGAATGAATAAACAAGATGTGATATAGCCATACACATACATACTTGTAATATTACTCGGCAATAAAAAGGAATAAAGTACTAATATATGCTTCAACATGGATGAACCTTGAAAACAGCTCATCCAGAGCACAAAGTAGATTAGTGGTTGCCAGGGGCCTGGGGGAGGGATGAATGGAGAGTGCCTGCTAATGGTTACACGGTTTTGGGGGGAGTGATAACAATGTTCTGATATTAGATAGTGGCAATGATTGCAAAACTCTGAATATACTAAAAACCACTGTATTGGGCACTGAAAGTATAAATTTTTTGGTAAAATTCATAAATCTCAATAAAGCTGTTGTTTATGTTTTAAAAAACCTGCAACAGCTCAGATGTCCTTCAAAAGTGATTAGTTGCACAAACTGCAGATACCATGGAATATTATTACTCAGTAATAAATAAAACACACACACGGCATGAGTCTCTGGGAAATTATGCTTCTGCTGAGTAAAAATAGCCAATCCTAAAAAGTTGCAGAGTGTATGATTCCTTTTATATAACATGCTTTTAAATGACAAACTTTTAGAAATGGAGAACAGATTAGTGATTGCAAGGAGTTACAGAAGGGGGGCCTTGCTGGAGGGAGGTGAGTGTGGTTATAAAAGGGTAACAGGAGGGATCCTTGTGGTGATGGAAATGTTCAGAATCTTGAATGTGGTGTAAACCCTACACATAATTAAGTTGTACAGAACTAAATACAAACCAAAAAATGACTATAAATATAACTGAGGAAATCTGAACATGATCTGTGGATTATGTCAATGTCAGTATCCTGGTTCTGATATTGTACGATAGTTTTGCAAAATGTCACCATTGAAGGAAACTGGGTAAACAGTACACAGGACCTCACCAGCAAGGACCTTTGATGCACGGAGAGGATATAACATAGATGAAGACATTGGAATGCCAAAGATTATGTGACAGCCTGCAAGTGGCACACAGTCACAAACAGAAGCCAGGGCTCTGGACACCCATTCCTTCATTCAACAAATATTTATGTGAGTGACACCAATGCCTCAGATCCCCAGTTGTAGAATCTAGGCCCTAGGGTTATAGCCATGAACAACCCTCAGGCCAGCCACAGCTCAAGGAGGTACAAATGACCCCTCGCTGTCCCTAGTGAAAAAGTCCAGGGTCACTGGCTCTGGGTGTGAACGTAAGAAGGGAGACAAAGGAGGATAATGAGGCCAAATAGCTCTGGCCCACAGCATCCGTACTGGCAAAGACACCAAACCTCCTAATGCTCTTGCTAGGAGGCAGGAGGTGCGGCTTGGCCAAGAGGCCAGGACTAAAGTAACAGGATAAACACGGGCGGGCTGGGGGCCGAGGCTGGTTTGGCGCAATGCGGTTGGGTTGAGGATTAGAGAGCTGGTGTCCAAGAGTAACGCCGGCCGAAAACTACAGCTCCCAGTGTGCCCCGCGGTCCGCCCCAGCGGTCATGTGACCGCTGCTAACGTGTCTCCGCAGCCGGCCCGGGCTCAAAGCACCGCAGGTAAGTGAAAGGAGGTACAGGTTGGTGGAGGTGGAAACGTTAGGTCCCTGGGTCCCCAGGGCCGTCACCGCGGCAGAGCCCTACCCACTCCCTGCAGGGCTCTGTAGCCCGGCGTCCTCCGCCCCACACCCGCCTTCGGTCGGCCGGCCCTTGCCGCGCCTTAGCCCGGCCTGTCCCCACCTAATCAGTCCTAGGCCCGGATCGAGCGCCGGAGCCCGTCCGCAGTTTACCTCACAGTAGCCCACTCTCCTCGCTTCAGGCCTGAGGATCGCCCCCACCCCCCGCCCTGGGTGCGCCCTGGCCCACCCTCCAATGCAGCTCACCCCTCGTATTTCTGGGATCCGGCCCCAGGCTGGCCTGGGAACCTGCTCCGGTTGGGATCCGAGGGGCCTACTGCAGTGGTTATAGCTCTGGCCTGAGCGTGTGGGCATCAGGGTTCTAGTTCTGGCTCTGCCGACGAGCCGCTGTGACATTAGTCTAGTCTCTTTCCCTCCGTGGGCCTGTTTCCCTAACTGAGCTGCTGCTCCACTCCGTGAGTTAGAGCGCCTCAGTTCCCTTCACTCTGCTGGCCCGCACAGAAACAGCTGACTCTTTCTCTGCTGACAAATTTTAGGTAGAGTTTGAGAAAGAAGAAACTGAGGGCAGAGAGGGAAGTGAGGAGAATCAGATCCCAGATCTTTGGGGAGAAGGAGCTGTAGAGCAGCTGTCCCTCCACCAAAGCCAGAGGGGTGGAAAGAGCAGGTAAGCTGGGGACCATGGAGCAGAGCAGCTTGAGGGGAGGGGGGCTGAGAGATTTCAGACCAGTGCAGAGACCTCTGTCTGAGATGTGAGCAGGGTGGAGGACAAGGTCTCACCGCTCAAGCAGCGCTAACTTTGCAGGGCTCTCTCTGGAGCTACGCTGGAAACTTGGGAGACCAAAACTGCCTCCACTGCTCACCGCTTTGATTTTTTGCCGAGTTGCTGGCTAGGTGGGTGGCAGGTTGCACAAGAGGAAGCCCTGTGGCAGCTGACTGATCTTTCTGGACTTGGAGCCAGCAGGGAGACATTTCCCCTGGAGCTGTGTCCCTTGGTTGCAGGCTTGGTGACAGATGTCTAAGAGCATCCAAACTCCCCCTTTTCTCTCTAATGAGTTTAAGGCTCCCAACTTTGTTCAACCATCACAGGAGGAGCAATGGCAAGCATCTGACTACCCAAGAGGCCTAGCTAGCCATTCTAAACCCCGCAGTGTGCTAGGGGCATTGGAGGGGATGTCCCTGTGATGGGCAGTGGTTAGGTCAGGCATGTGGGGAGAAAAGTAAGAATTGGCCTAAATTTTGAAGGGCTTTGAAAGCTCCACAGAATTTAGACTCTGGAGGGAGGTATGCTGGCCTGTAAGAAATTGAAATACCCACAGTTCTGGGTGAGGATTGTTCTTGTGACCCTGTGGTATAGAAACAAATGAGGAAGCCAGACAGATCTGGATCTAAATCCTGCTTTGCAACTTGCTACTTTGTGACCCTGGATGAGTGATCTGATCTCTCTGAACCTTATGACCACTGTCATAAGGAATGAATGAGATATGTCCATGACACTCCTGCCCGATGCATGGCCTCTAGTGCTGACATATCAGTACCCCTCTCTTCTGTGTTTATGTCTTATTTACCTGATAGGTCTGTAGGCCTGAAGCAGGCAGGAATTACATCTGACACATTTCTGTCTCTGCCATCACACTGTGGCACCCAGTGCAGTGTTCTGCACAGCGGCACACCCGGGTTTGGATCTCAGCCATCTGATCTGGGGAAAGTTGTTTCACCTTTCTGTGTCTCTTGAGATAACAGTAGTATCTGCCTTTCCCATCTAGGTTGAGGAGAGCCAGAGCCCACAGGCCTCCTAGGATAACAGCCCCAAACAGGCTGGTGGCACCCTCCAGCTGAAGGTGTTCCCTCAGCTCCCCAGGGCATGTGGTCGTGAGACAGAACCCACAGACCCTGCAGGAACAGGACTCCCAGGGCCATGGCCCAGGTCAGCATCAACAGTGACCTTGGCGAGTGGGGCTTAAGCACAGACTCCGGGGAGCGTGCCCGTCTGCTGCAGAGTCCCTCTGTGGACATAGCCCCCAAGAGTGAGGGGGAGGCCCCTCCTGGGGGTCTGGGCAGAGGCACCACTTCCACACTTGGAGCCATCTTCATCGTTGTCAATGCCTGCCTGGGCGCAGGGCTGCTCAACTTCCCAGCAGCCTTCAGCACTGCCGGGGGAGTGGCAGCTGGCATCACGCTGCAGATGGTGAGTGAGCGGGCCTGGCGGGCAAAGGTGCAGTTCTAGTGGTGGGTCTGGGCTCTTCACCTCAAAAGGGAGGCTCTGGATCAGGAGTGGTCAGTTGGAGACACATGCTACCACTCTCCCCTCCATCACACATAGCAGACATTACTAATCTCTTCCAGCATTCTTTCCTTTGAGCTCAGATGAGGCTTCAAAAGCCTTCCCAGCTCTCAGGGAAGTTTGGACATCGACTGCATATTTAATAATTTCATGGTTACATTTAAAAAGCAGGCCCATACCTTAGAGCCATGCTGAAATATTTACTGATGAAATGATATGATAGCTCGTATTTTCTTCAAAATAATCCAGAGTGGGAGAGGGAATAGATGAAACAAGACTGGCTGTAAATTGATGATTTTTGAATTTGAGTGATGGGTACATAGGGGTCCATTATACCATTCTGTCTACCTTTGTATATGTTTGAAATTTTCCTCAAAACTTCTCGTTTTTAAAGAAAATCTCAACTCCAGTAATCCATTAAAATTGCCCTGCAAGATAAGGCTAATTTGCCAGATGGGCATTGGGCACCGGGCCAGTAAATGCTGAGCAAGACCAGGCTGCTCTTTGCTGCCAGGCCTTTCCCACACGCTCTTGCTATGCCCCTACCCGCAGGCCATGCTGGTTTTCATCATCAGTGGCCTCGTCATCCTGGCCTACTGCTCCCAGGCCAGCAATGAGAGGACCTACCAGGAGGTGGTGTGGGCTGTGTGTGGCAAGCTGACAGGCGTGCTGTGTGAGGTGGCCATTGCCACCTACACCTTCGGGACCTGCATCGCCTTCCTCATCATCATCGGGGACCAGCAGGACAAGAGTGAGGTCCCCCCTCAGTACCCCCCCAGCCCTGGGGGTCATGCGGTGGGTGGGAAAGAGCATGGAACACCTGCCCAAGGCCTGGCCTGGGCCCGGCATTCATCTGGGAGTCCTCCCTCCTGGCTGCTGGGCCCATTAGACAGATGGAGGTCCCAGCAGAGGTGGAGGACCACACCCTGCAGTAGCCTGGCATCACGTTCCCTCCTTCCTCCCTGTGCAGTTATAGCTGTGATGGCAAAGGAGCCTGAGGGGGCCGGCGGCAGCCCCTGGTACACAGACCGCAAGTTCACCATCAGCCTCACTGCCTTCCTCTTCATCCTGCCCCTTTCCATCCCCAGGGAGATCGGCTTCCAGAAATATGCCAGGTTCGGAGGCCCCACCCCAGCCTGCGCTGGACAGCAGCTCTGATCACAGGCAGCTGGAGACCCAAGGGCTGCAGGGGAACCCCTCTGCTCCATGCCACCTCATCTCCTGGGGCAGCAAGAGTGGGCAAGGCAGGGTAGACCGGGGCTTGCAGGGGTTCCGGCATAAGACCTTCCTTTTGTGTCAGTAGCAAGGGAGACAGTGGCTCTTTGTATCAGTGAGAGATTCAGTTCCAAATGTCCTTGTCAAAGAAGGGATGCATGATAATCATGTGTGAAGGCCGTCTCCTAGCCTGGGCCTTGTCTTTCCCACGGAGGATGGGACTCTTGATCATTTGGGATTGTCAGCCTGGCAGCATTTTCCATGCAGCTTGGTATGAAGGGAAGGGACTAGCTTCCTGGCTCAGAGTCTGAAAAGCTGTGGGATTCTAAGCTGTTTCCTGTGATCCTTTATCGAAGGGGTCACACTCAGTGTCTCCAAGATTTCCTTTAATGTTGACTTCCCAGTATTTGTGCCTTCAACCCTCCAGCATCTCCTACTTCTCAAAGGCCCTGCTTGCACCTCTCGCCAAGTCTGGGCTGCTCTGATTGAAGTAGCAGATGTGCTTTGAAGCCCAGCCCCCTGCTGTGGTCTCTGAGCCATGGAGCTGAACCACCTCATTTCCCAGTGGCCACAAGTGTCAGTCTGGTCCCCTCCTGGCTTCCTAAATGTGGCTTGTTTCTCTGAAACTTATGTCTCATGCATTTCTTGAGTCTTTGTTTGGGATAGTCTCCCAGTTGGTTCATTAGACACTTGTGGTCACTAAAGTTAAGGGTGGATGTCCCTGGGGATGGAATGAGAGAAAAGGCAGCTGGGGATGGGGGGAAGAAGCTTAATCTATCCTTCCTGGCAGCTTCCTGAGCGTCGTGGGCACCTGGTATGTCACTGCCATCGTTATCATCAAATACATCTGGCCTGATAAAGAGATGACCCCAGCGGACATCCTGAACAGGTGGGTGAGGGCCCCCGGGAGACACATGGGGTAGAAGCTGCCACTCGGGCCCCAGGAGGTGCTGGGTCAGGCATCAAAAAGCCACACAGGTGCTCTTCCCAAGGCTCATTAGCTCACTGGGGATTGACTCATTGGTCATTTTAGGAAGGAGGCAAGAGGTCCTGATCTCTTTTTGCTGGAGAGAAGAGTGACAGCCGGAGATGAGGGAGACTTTGCCACTAATGTCCAACAGATGAGCCAATGTGAGACTAGGCCTCAGGTTATGGAAACTGCCAAGGTGGAATTGCACATCTGTTTCAACATGTGCTTATCTGTAATATCTGTATCTTCCACGTGAGGATGAATCCATTTTCTTAATTAAAAAAAAAAAAAGTTTCCTTTTTCTTGAAAGGAACAAATCAGAGAAGCAAAAGCCCAAGTGCAAGAGCCAAAAGTTCTGGATTTTGGTCCCAGGAGGGCCTTCCAGAGCCTCGGTTTACTGACCTGTAAATGGAGATGTGTCCTCTCCCAGTCCCCAGACTTCTGTGGGTTGAATGTGTGCATGCTGGCTGGTGGAGGCCGTGGGGGGCTGAATGAAGAGTAAGAGCATGGCGGCGGTTGGTGACTCTGAGGGGCTCCCGGGCAGCAGCATCTTGTGTGTTTGTCCGCAGGCCAGCTTCCTGGATAGCTGTGTTCAATGCCATGCCCACCATCTGCTTCGGATTTCAGGTGCTAGTTGCAAGGTCCCTTTTGTCCCCTTAGCTCACTCCCCATCCTGGGATGGAATCCACGTTACAGGCAGGATGGGGGAGTCCTGGAAGGAAGGACGGAGTGGGGGCCCCAGGACTTGCCCCTTATCCTTGGGGGTGAGGTCACTTGCCCACCATGACCCCGCCCTTCACCCTGACAGTGCCACGTGAGCAGTGTTCCCGTCTTCAACAGCATGCGGCGGCCTGAGGTGAAGACCTGGGGTGGGGTGGTGACGGCCGCCATGGTCATAGCCCTCGCTGTCTACATGGGCACAGGTGAGTGCTCCCCTCCGAGGGCAGGGCTTAGAGGGCTCCCACTTTACCCCTTTGTCCCCAAGTCGTCTGGCCCAGGATTTCCTGGGGACAGCCCTGCGCTCCCAACACGTCAAACACTTCTGTAGGCACTGGCTTGAACTTGGGCCACCCTGGGCCTCCTCCTGCCCAAATGAGAAAGATGTATGCATGCATTCATTCAGCAGCTCTCAGTGGGTGCCTAGTAAGTCCCAGGAACTTTCTCAGCGTGGGGGATGCCATGGAGGTAGATAGACCCGGTCCTGCCCTCATGGAATTGACAATCTAGTCGGAGAGAGAGTCTTACAGGAGCAAGTCAGGAATCAGTAAGGAAATCCAGACAGTGGTGAGTGCCATGGTAACAGGGAAGCAGGAAGCTGTGAGTGGGGTTGAGTGCGACTGAGTGGGGTTGGCTTTGGTGGGTAGGTCACAGGTGGCTCCTCTCTGGGGAGGTGGCAACTGGGGAAGGCCAAATCATGAGAAGGAGCTAGAATCTGAAGAGCTGGGGGAAAAGCATTCCAGACAGACGAACCAGAAAACATCAAGTCCCTGAGGCCGGGACAGAAGAAGGTCTGCATAGCTGGAGTGGAGCGAATTGAGGGTGGGTGGCGGGCAGCACGGCCAGACAGGGAACACAGCCTGATCCCTGAGGACTGTTGGGAGGCAGAGAGGAAACGTTTCAGCAGGGGCGTGGCTCGGGGACACCCGGCTCTGGGTGTTGTGTAGAAAATGGTTTGGGTGAGGGAGCAGCGCTGGGAGACCACAAAGAATGGCCCTGTGATTCCTTCCACAGATGGTTCTCAGGACCAGCACTGTTCTGGTTTCTGAAGACACAGCCAGGAACAAGGGTGGCAAATAGGCAGAGTCCCGTTCTCCTGGGGCGACAGACAATAAACAAGTAAAAAAAAAGAAGTTCCAAGAGAGAGGAGTGCTCTGAGGAACACAGAACAGGGTGGTATGAGGGAGTGCCTGGGGGCAGGGATTATTGTGGACGGGCTGGGCGGGGAAGCATTCTCTGAGGAGGGGACAACGGAGCTGAGACCTAAATGATGAGGAGATGGGCAGACAGAACGTTAATGCGGAAGCTCTGAGACAGGAACTGCTGGGTGAGTTCAAGGTCAGAAAGGTGACGGTGTGGGGGTGGGAGATGTGAGAAGTCAGGGAGGGAGGCTTCTGATCCCAGCCTCGGCACCCCTCTGAGCCTCAGTCTTAGCCTGCAGAGCTGCTCCGTCATCTCCCCACCTGCTGCTGGACCCAGCAGTGAACAGTCCATGGCCCTAACCCTCCGAGGGTCTCCTGGACCCAGCCCTCTTGTCCCTGCCCTCAGGCATCTGTGGCTTCCTGACCTTTGGAGCTGCTGTGGACCCCGATGTGCTCCTGTCCTACCCATCGGAGGACATGGCTGTGGCCGTCGCCCGCGCCTTCATCATCCTGAGCGTGCTAACCTCCTACCCCATCCTGCACTTCTGTGGGCGGTGAGTCCCCTCTCCACCCCACCGGGGTGCTCCCTTTCACCAGGGCCTCTGAAAGCCCTTTGAACATGGGCCTTGTGTAGAATCCATTTTATAGAAGGAGAACTGGAAGCCCAGAGGAAAGAGTCAGTGCCTCGCATGGCCCTGCAAGTACTCCCAGCCAGGTCTTTGGGGGTCCCCTTTGTCCCAGAGTCACCAGAACATTCTGTGAGTCCTCTGAGAACCTCTAGTCCAGATCCTTTCCTGAACACCCTGCTTTCTGGGTACCCCAGACCCTTCCTTTTCAGGAGACTAGTAGTATATGTTTCCATGGGGTGTGCTAGTCCTGGGCCAGGCAAGGCACTAAGCCGTTCCCATTCACCATCCCGTCCAGTCCCCACGGCAACCCTGAGAAGAGTGCCGCTAGGCCCATTTCAAAGAAGAGGAAACTGAGGCCCAGGGGTTAGAGTCTTACCTACAATCCACCCAGTCGGGGGTCTGGCTCCCTGGCTGGAGGTGGGGAGCTGTTAGCAGCGGCGCCTCTGAGCCGCTCTCTGTGTGGGCAGGGCGGTGGTCGAAGGCCTGTGGCTGCGCTACCAGGGGATGCCGGTGGAGGAGGACGTGGGGCGGGAGCGGCGGCGGCGAGTACTGCAGACGCTGGTCTGGTTCCTGCTTACCCTGCTGCTGGCGCTCTTCATCCCTGACATCGGCAAGGTCATCTCGGTCATTGGAGGACTGGCCGCCTGCTTCATCTTCGTCTTCCCAGGTGTGGACCCCTGGCATCCCCGCAGCACTCTCTCCCAGGGCCTCCTGGCCTGAGCGCGTCACCTCCCGGGTTATTGATCACCCACTTCAGGCTCTGGTGTGTTTAAACGTTATCTCCTGCAAAGAAGGTGTAGTTGTCATCTCCATTTCACTGGTGAGGAGGTGTGAGGATCAGAGAGGGTAACAAGCTTGCCTAGAGGTTAACAAACTCAGCTAAAGACTAATAGAAGCTTTTCAAACCCAAGTCTGTCTAGGTCCACAGCCTATACTCTTAACTTTTCATTCAGGTACCTGTTACTCCCCGACTATCAGGGATCTGGGTGGGTCAGCCCATGACGGGGTAATTAGGGTCTGGTGGTGGCACCCTGACATGGGTCGGGAGACCTGAGTTTCAGACACAGTCTGCCACCAGATCCCTGGGCAACTGTCCTATCTGCCCAGTCATGAGTTCTGCCTGTACCCAGCTTACTTCTCTCTAGGAGGCCACCTGGAAATCCCTTGCCACTTTGCTTGGAGCAAGGGGGACACATCTGCTCAGAAGTGCACTGGGAAGGGCCCTGCAATGTAGACACCACTGAGTCACCTCCCTGTGCTGCCCCTTTAGCTCTGGGGCTTGCATGCAGCCCAAGGGGTGCCTGGCAGGTGCTGGCTCCTCCTGGGAGACCAGATGCCAGGTCTCCAGCTGGGTGGAGAGCGGAGACAGAGGCGGAATGTGTGGAGGAGTAAACACAGGCCTTTCTCCACCCACCATCACTGCCTCCTGGCAAAGGGGGAGGCTGGACTGCTGGGTGGGGGGGGGGGGTGCCCACCCAAGCTCCCAGGGCCACCTTTTCTCTTCTAGGGCTGTGCCTCATTCAAGCCAAACTCTCTGAGATGGAGGAAGTCAAGCCAGCCAGGTAAAGCAGGGCCCAGCCCGTGGTCCTCTCAGGGAGGTACTGGATGGGGGGTGGCCTTTAAATGGACAGGAGTCAGGAGACTTGTGTACTTTGAAAAACTTTTTAAAATACTTCTTTTAAAATGTGTAACATGTTAGTTGTAACAGTTCAAATACTACTGAGGATTTGTTTTTAATTTTTTAAATTTTATTTTTTTATACAGCAGGTTCTTAGTAGTCATCAACTACTAAGGATTTTAGAGAAAAAAATGGAAGTCCCTCTTACCCCACAGCCCGCTCCCCACTGCTCCCTTCTCCTGAGAGAGCTCCATGAGATCAGCACAGCCTGTGCCCTTGTAGACTGTTTCTGTGTGTGCACATGTGTCTGTGTACATAAAGCTATGCACGCGTATACACAGACACATGGGGTTTTGTGTCTGGTTAGGTTTTTTCAAAAATGGTTTCATGCCAGACACACTTTTCTGCTACTTGCTTTTTTTGCTTAACCACGTATTTTGGAGATCATTCTATGTCCACACAAGAAGATCTACTGCTTCCTTTTTCCATGGCCGTAGAATATTTTGCTGTTTGAATGTGTCCTGAATGTGAACACACTTCTGCATGTACACCTTGGCACAGCTGTTCGAGGATCTCAGTAGCATCGATTCTTAGAAGGAAATTGCTCCATCATAAGGCACGCTCATTTTTACTCTGGCACACGGGTTCAAATTACCCTCCAAAAAGGCAGTACCAGTCAGAGTCCCAGAAGCAGTGAATGAAAGTGCCCTGTTCCCCACACCCCTGCCAGGACTGTATATAGCAGCCTTTTCAATATTTGTTAGTCTAATGGATACAAAACACTACATGTTTAAAAAATTAACCATTTTTACCATTTTAAAGTGTTGTTCAGTGATATTAAGTTCACTCATATTTTTGTGTAACCATCCCCACCCTCTACCTCCAGAACCTTTTCATCATCCTAAACTGAAATTCTGTACGCATTAAACAATAATTCCCCATTCCCTCTCCCCTCGCCGCCACCATTCTACTTTTTGTCTGTGTGAATTTGACTCTTCTAGGTACCTCATGTAACTGGAATTATACAGTATTTATCTTTTTGTACCTGGCTTCTTTCACTTAGCATAATGTCCTCAAGGTCCATCTATGTTGTAGCAGCCTTTTTAAGGCTGAATAATCCATTGTGTGTATAGGCCACATTTTGCAAAACACTGCATTCTTTTAATATGTGCATGTCCCTGAATGGTAGAGAAGTTATGACCAGGTTGCATGCTTTTAAAAAAATATATTGTGCAAGTAATACTCATTGATTATAGAAAACTTTAAAAATACAAACAAGTCTAAGAAGGAAAATAATAATCACCTTTAATATCCAGATATAACCAGGAAATTTCTTGGCGGTCCAGTGGTTAGGACTCTGTGCTTTCACTGCTGAGGGCATGGGTTCAATCCCTGGTCAGGGAATTAAGATCCCACAAGCCAGGCGGGCAAAAAAAGGAAAAAAAAAAAAAAAAAAGAAAGAAAAAATTCCAGTTGTAACCCTGTAGCTATTTTTGATACATATCTTTGCAGATGTCTCCTTTTTTATTTATTTATTTTTTTAATGAAATGGATCACTCCATGTGACCTGCTTTTTCCTGACCATCTTTCCATCAGGAGATATGCATTCTTTTTTTTTTTTAATATTTATTTATTTGGCTGTCCCAGGTCTTAGTTGCAGCACGTGGGATCTTCCATTATGGCATGTGGGATCTTTTAGTTGTGGCATGAAGGATCTTTAGTTATGGCACGCGGGGGTCTTTAGTTGCAGCATGAAAACTCTTAGTTGCGGCATGTGGGATCTAGTTCCCTGATCAGGGATGGAATCCAGGCCCCCTGCATTGGGAGCTCAGAGTCTTAGCCACTGGACCACCAGGGAAGTCCCAGGAGACATGATTCTAATCCTGGTCCTGCCCTTGGTGTGCTGTGACCAGTCAATTAATCCCATTAGGTCTTGGCCTCTTTACCCATGGTCTAGGGATCATACACCCAGCCCCATAAACTGTTGTATGAAAGTCGTTGAGAAGTAGGAAGTGCTCTTCCCACAGGAGAAGTGGTATTAAGTAATTAGAGTAATTAACTGATATATATATATATGGAAGTTGGCAAATTCACAAGTGGATCGACTGACCAGGCCCTCTCTCACCCTCTGCTCTACAGCTGGTGGGCGATGGTCAGTTACGGAGTCCTCTTGGTCACCCTGGGAGCCTTCATCTTCGGCCAGACCACAGCCAACGCCATTTTTGTGGATCTCTTGGCATAACCAGTGCCTCCCAGGGAATTCTTGGCCTTTGCCATTGGACCCTGGAACCCATCTCGTAGAGCTTCAGGACCACCCTGAGTCCGGCATCATTCCCCTCTACTGGTGGGATGACATCTGGACATCCTTTTCCAGGGACAGTTCTGGGGTGAAATCAGGCCCCACAACCCTGGACAGCTCCCTTCCTGCCCCCGCATCCTGGCAGTGCCATGAATGGTAGGAGGAGGTCTCGTGTCACAGAAGAACCTTCCCCCCTCTTCCACCTCTCAATTTCTCCATGCCTGGAAGCCACGGGTGAAGAGAGTCGGTAGGTCTCCGAAGGAACAACTCAGCCTGACTTCCCTCTGGAGAAAGAGTGTGGACCAAGGGCTGCCATCCTCCACAGAGAAGCCTGCCCTGAGTAGGGGCTGTGCTCATTACCCCGGGGCTCAGTGCCTGCTCCAGTCTGTCGGCAGCCCAGCCAGCAGTGGCTTCCTCCAGCAAGTTCCAAAGGTAGCACTGAAATCATACAGGTGCGCCGAGGCAGGCAGATGGATGCCTTGTCCACTGCCTCCTGGGCCTGCGGTGAGCCTGAGAGCCCTCTTGCCCATGGCTGGTTGACATTTCCCAAGCCTTTTGGGGCCTCGCCCTGTCTTCTTACCCAGACCTGATGGTCCAGGCATCCCTCTGCTCCTCCATCCCCAGACATCACCAAGTCTAATGTTTACAAACGGTGCCAGCCCAGCTCTGAGCCAGGGGCCAGGGGCCGTCCCGTGCCACGGTGCTGTGAGTACTCCTCCCTTAACTTTCCCCAAGGCGGGGAGTGTGCTTTTCTCTCTCAGATTCCTGATGGGTCCCTCTTTTCAGAGGCACAAGGGTGGGTGAGGGAGCAAGCTGGGAACCCCATGCAGGCTGGGCTGGTGAGGATCAAGGTGAACCTGTCTGGCATCTTCACTTTGAATGGCTGCTTCTCTTCTCCCTGCCCTGCACGTCCCCCCTTCCCTGCCAACCCAGCCTGGTACCCTGGAGACAAGAAAGGCAGCTGAGTGGCCACTGACTAGGCAACATCTGAGTGTAGTCACGCCAGCCTACAAGTTTCCCTTCCAGTCTGGATCTTGTCTGCTTCTGTTCCCCATCACCTCTTCGCCACCACCCCATTTTTCTATGTAGCTCAGTCTCTCCTGTTCACATAAGTATGGGTGTGGGGGTGGACCAAACCCTCTCTCGTCCACTTCCTCAGCTCCACAGGTCTACCAGGCCTGGCCTCGGCGGCCTGTCGATCACACTGAGGTCGCACCTACGTTGTGCCCCAGGCGGGGTGAGGAAGGATATTTTCCCCTTTCATATTTTGAACACCTTGGCCACTCACTTAGGCCAAGCCTAGGCACCGAATCAGGCTTCCTCTGCCTGGAACACCTAGCGTTCTCCCTCCTGCCTAAAACCTCTGAACGCAGTGGTGGGGTGAGAGGGATCCCTGCCCTCAGGACAGTGAGACTGAAGAAGCAGGGCCTTGCTGGGGCCAAACAGGCTTCTGCTCAGACCCCCGGACTGGGTGACCTGCCTTTCCTCACGTTCCCTGGGGGCCAGGCCCACGTGGCCGTTTTCCCTCTGCCTGCTGCACAGCACCAGGCCCTGCCAGTGCCCACCCCAGATACAGTCAGGAGGATGGCCCATCAGCAGCAGGGCTGCACTGCCTCCTAATGTTGGATTTCAGTGAGGGCTGGGGGCATGTATGGGGAAAATGAGCTGGAATCTGGCCTAACCTCAGGAGCACCTTCCCCTGCCCTCTCTGCCAGGGCATTTTACTGTTTCTTTTCTACTTCTGCACATTCAGACCAGGGAGGATGGTTAATAAAAAGGGACTTGTGCTGCTGAGCTGCGTGGCCTGTGTCTGGTGCCAGGGACAGTCCAGGCCACTGACAGGAGGAAGACGGGCTGGAGTGGGAGTAGGGGTTGGGGTGCGATAGGCCGTTTGGCCTCACCATCTGTGACCCCTTACTCAAGAATGGGCCCATCACGCTCCCTTTCCCAAGCCGGAAACCTGCAAGTGGTTCTTAACACTTCTCTCTCCTTCCACATCCCATCAGACTTTCCCCACTGACTTGGGACTCCGCCTTGGTCTGTCCTGCTGCCTCTACCTTGGTTCAAGTCCTTCCTGTGTCTTCCCTGCACCATTGCAGCCTCAGATTAGCTTCTGTGTTGTATGACCCTCCCTGACCTCAAGTTTTGGGGTGAGCTTCAAACCCCTGAGTATCCCTCCCACTTTGTCCTTTCAGAGGCAGGTGTTGAGAGCAGGCGCTATTGTCCTGGTTATGGAGCCTCTCACTGCTCAGCGCTGGGGAGAAGATATTCAGCAAAACACACCAGCTCTGCTGTCAGTCTACTGGGGATGACTGATGCTTAGCAAGTCATCACAAATATAAACATGCAAGTTGTGATAAATGCCAAGAAGGGAAAATACAGAATGTTATATTTGGGGGTCTGAAGCTTCCCTGGGGAGTCAAGGAAGGTTTCTTGGAGGAATTGACATATGAACTGGCCCCTGAGTGATGAGTAGAATGAACTAAGTGAAGAGAGGTGGGGAGACCTTTCCAGGCTGTGGGAAATGCATGTGCAAATGCCCTGTGATTTGAGGAACTGGAAAGTGGCCATTGTCGGTGGAGCATTACCTGGGTGTGGGAGAGCAGCAGAGGTGAGAGCAGAGCATTCTGACATGGTCTGCAACGGCTCCCCCTGGTCCTCAGAATAAAGTCGAACCCGCCCACCTTCTACCACACTCCGCATCCCTGTTCGGGTATTTTGCAAAGACCCCTCCCTCCTGGTGGAGGTGGGGACCCTCTCCAAGGAGGAAACATGTTGCAAGACTAGACAGGTGGGACAGCTTTGGGCCATGGTTCACACCTGCCTAGTGGGCCAAGAGCTTGAGGTTTGGTTTCACTTTCTCTGAGTGAACAGAGGGAAGGAAAGGTTACATCTAGGCCACAGGCAAATGCCCAGCCAAATTCATTCAAGTCAAGACTTGTAAGCACTTAATCAGTGTCTGTCTCCCTGTTAGACTGTAAGTTCCACGGGAGCAGGGTCACATCTCCCTTGTCCATCAGGTATCTTAGCCAGTGCCTGGCACATAGCAAGTGTTCAGTAGTTGGTGAACAAATGATTGAATGAATATCAACTAACACTTGTTGATTTCTTACTTTGTGCCAGCACTTAACTTGCAACATTCACATTTGGTCTTCATGACAACTCTATGCAAAAGTGAAAGCTGAGAGATGTTACACAGTGTGCCCAGGGAGTAAAATTGGAGCCCTCTTGCCGTGCATGAATGAACAAGTGAGCAGAGGGCTCTCTCAGTCTGGTGATTTCTGACCCTGGAAGGCAAGCTCAGGAACCTCCAGCCCTCATGCTGGCACCAACATCAGACCCTAAAACCTTTGACTTACTGTCCCATCCAAACTGTGTCAGGTTGTGGGATGCCTGTTGGCTGGTGGCTCTGGGCAAGTCGCTTCCCCTCTCTGGGCTTCTGTTTCCAGAATCTCTAACATGGGACTGATCATCACTGACCTTACTTACCTCCCAGGATAAAGGAGAGCCAATGTCAAGAAAGTACATGAGAAAAATGACAGAAGTGCTTTATAACCAGAAATCCGCGTTTACAGAAGAAATGCGAAAACTCAGTTTCTCCTCAGGAGGGCACAGGCAGAGGTTCCCCTAGCACTTCCTGGGAGTCAGGGTACTTCTCAATCTTTAATGTGCATACAAAATTTTTATCTCCTTAGGATACAAATTCTGATTCAGTAGATCTGGAGTGGGGCCTGCAGTCTGCATTGTTAACGCTCCCAGCTTCGCCCATGCTTTGGTCCTTGGACTGCACTTTGAATAGCAGGGGACTGGTGGACAGACCAAAGGCTTTGGCTTCAGACAGACCTGGGGTGGATCTCAGCAGTGCCTCTTTACAGTGGGAACTCAGAAATTAGTTCACTTCTCTGAACCCCACTCTCCTCGACTATGAAGTAGGAGTGATGGTGCCCATCTTATAGATGCAAATATTATAAATCCAAGGACAAATGGCATAATATACGTGAAATGCCTGGCAGATAGCAGGGATTATGTTGGTCATTTCCCTGTACTGGAAAGGAGGGTGGGGTGGGAGGGTAACTGCAATTTCTTCCTTTAGTCAATAGAGGTCGCCTCTGAGTAATTTCGGCTTATGAAAGTGAGGAGCCTATGGCCTCAGAGGACAGTCCAGTCCTGAGTCATTAGGGTTCCTGGTGAACTGCTGCCTAGCACTTCTGAATGATGTCCCTATACTGGGGCAGGGCCACTTCTAGATCATGGCCTCCAATCTGGTGGGGGAATCAGACCAATCAAATAATCACAGAAACTAATTACGTAGGTACATGTGCTAGATGTAGATTCAGTATTGCAAATCCAGATTTGGTAATTCATCGCTATGATACAATGAAAAATTTTTCCATAGGTGTGGAGGAAGGCCAGAGACATTGTCGTCAGGAAGAAGGAAGACGGCAGACACCCTGTCCTCCAAATACTTTGTGTTTCCTGAGGGGGCAGTGGGGTGGGGAGGGGGGAAGGAATAGGCACAAGATGCCTATTTGGATATTCTTCCATTAAAAATGAAATTGATGTGTTTCCAGTCCAACATGTAAGAAGCTTGGAAGTGGCCACTCCATCCTAACACAAGTAAAAAGTTGAACAAACTGGAAAGTCAACTCTTCTTAGATATGTACAATAAGTCAGATTATAAGGCACACCACTGCCCCCAGAATTGGAGAGAAAGACAGACAAATACAGAGCAGAAACCCACAAGCAGAAACCTCTGTGGGAGTCAGTGCCAGGGTAAGGAAACCTGAACTGTAATTGATGAATTGCTGGAGGCTCAGTGTGGACAAATCTGAGAAATAAAAATACCAAGGAAGGGCTTCCCTGGTTGAAATTCCACCTGCCAGTGCAGGGGACATGGGTTCGAGCCCTGGTCTGGGAAGATCCCACATGCCACGAAGTAACTAAGCCCGTGAGCCACAACTACTGAGCCTGTGTGCCACAACTACTGAAACCCGTGCACCTAGAGCCAGTGCTCCGCAACAAGAGAAGCCACCACAGTGAGAGGCCCGCGCACCGCAATGAAGAGTAGCCACAACTAGAGAAAGCCCGCGTGCAGCAATGAAGACCCAGTGCAGCCAAAAAAAACCACCAAAGAATCCAGTCCTACTGGGGGAAGGGAGCATACTTTGTGACTTTGTGGGTTTAACCTGAAGTTCTACCAGGTTCTCATAGTAAACATCAGAAAAAAATCCCTCATGTTTCCAGCGGAGGAGGGTAAAAGGAACTATTTTGAAATGTGCTAGAGCATTCTGTTGTTGTTAATAAGATATACCCTCAGGAGACACTTAAAATTTAACCAGAGCCTAACCTACTGGGATTTTATCAGAGCCTAACAGACCTAAGGGAAGGGAAACACACAACTCCATCCCACTCTAGCCACCCTGAGGGGACTGGAGGGAGAAGATAAGTGAAGTCCATAGTCCTTCTCTTAGTGAACCAGTCCATCACAGGCTCACTAAGAGACTGTGATCCAGTCATAGGACCACAGAACACTTCCCCTTCCCTTACACCTTGCAACCTTATTACTAAAGGCCAATCTACAGCAGTTCCTTTTACCTAGTACATTATGTCTGGCTATCAATAAAAAATTACAAGATATACTAAAAGGCAAAAAACATAGTTTTTTGGGGTTTTTTTTGCGGTACGTGGGCCTCTCACTGTTGTGGCCTCTCCCATTGCGGAGCACAGGCTCCAGACGCGCAGGCTCAGCGGCCATGGCTCACGGGCCTAGCTGCTCCGCGGCATGTGGGATCTTCCCGGACCAGGGCACGAACCCGTGTCCCCTGCATCGGCAGGCGGACTCTCAACCACTGCGCCACCAGGGAAGCCCCTAAAGACATAGTTTTAAGAGACAGAGCAAGCATCAGAGCTAGACTCAGATATGGCAGGAGTGTTAGAATTATCAGGCCAGGAATTTTAACAACTATGGTTAAGATGCTAAGGGCTCTCGTGGATGAAGCAGACAGCCTGCAAGAACAGTAGATGGGCAATGTAAGCAGAGAGATGGAAATTCTAAGAAAGAACCAAAAAGAAATGCTAGAGATAAAAAACACTGTAGGAGAGATGAAGAATGCCTATACTGTACAGGCTGGATACAACTTAGGAAAGAATCTCTGAGCTTCAGGATATCTCAATAGAAACCTCCAAAACTGAAAAGCAAATAGAAAAAAAAAAAAAAGTCTGTGGAAAAACAAAAGGAATAATGTACACAGAATGGGAATATCAGAAGGAAAAGAGAGAAAGGAACAGAAAAATATTTGAGACAATAATGACTGAGAATTTCCCCCAAATTAATTTCAGGCACCTGATTAATTAATGACAGACCAGGAAGCTCAGAGAACACCCAGCAGGATAAATGCCAAAATATATGACACCAAGTCATATCATTTTCAAAAAATACAGAAAATCAAAGATAAAGTCCTGAAAGAAGCCAGGGGCCAGGTTCAATCCCTGGTCGGGGAACTAAGATCTCACAAGCCTCACAGTGTGGCCAAAAAAAAAAAAAAAAAAAAAGGAATTACTGTTGACCCTTGAACAATATGAGGGTTAGGGGCTCCAACCCTCTACATACTTGAAAATCTCCATATAATTTACAGTCAGCCCTCTGTATCCGAGGTTCCTCCATATCTGCGGTTCTGCATCTAAAGATTCAACCAACTGCGGATCGTGTAGTATTGCAGTATTTACTATTGAAAAAAATCCACTATATATAGACCCTTGCAGTTCAAACCCATGTTGTTCCAGGGTCAACTGGACATCTGACTTCTCAGAAACTATGCAAGCGTGAAGAGAGTTGAGTGAAATATTTTAAATGTTAACAGAAACCTAGAATTCTATATCCTGTAAAATCATCCTTCAACAGTGAAGGAGAAATACTCTCTCAGACAAACAAAAATTGAGGGAATTTGTTGCCAGTAGACTTGCCTTGAAAGAAGTGTTAAAAGGAGTTCTTTAGAGAGAAGGGAATTTTTTTTGGCCACGCCACCCTGCTCTCGGGATCTTAGTTCCCCAACCAGGGCCCCCTGCAGTGGAGCACAGAATCCTAACCACTGGACCACCAGGGAATTCCTAAGGGAAGGGAAATTAAATGAAGCAGATATCACAATTATAAAGCAAGAAGAGAATGCTTTGAAAAATGAACAAAATGAAAACCAGCACCTAAAAATTTAAAGTATGATGGCCAAATTTAAAAATAAATCAAAGAAGAGTTAAAGATAGTTAAGAAAATCCCCTGGAAAGCAGAACAAAAAGACAGAGATGGAGGGAATTCCCTGGCTGTCCCGTGGTTAGGACTCAGCGCTTTCACTGACAAAGAGATGGGAAAGAAGAGATAAGAAAATTAGAGTTTCAACTCAGATCCAACATCTGACTAACAGGAGTTCCAGAAATAGAGAAGAAAGAAAATGGACAGGGGCAGGAAGTGGGAGAGCAGAGAAAGACAGATATTACCAAAGAAATAACTCAACAAAATTTTGCAGAACTGAAAGATATGAGTCTCCATATTTGAGCCAGTAAATTGAATTTTAAGAGCTGCACACTGGAAATAAAGAGAAAATCTTAAAGATTTTCTGAGATAGTGGTGGGCAGGGAGGGCATGCTTCTTGGCATCACTGCAAGCTAGAAGATGACACATCAATGCCTTCATAATTTTTGAGTGAAACTTTTCAACCTAGATTTCAGTGCACAACCAAACCTTCAATCAAGTGTGAGACTGAAACAAAAACATTTCCAGGTAAGTAAAGGGTACATAAATTTACATCCTGTGTAGCCTTTCTCAGAAAGTCACTGGAGAATATGCTTCAGCAAAACAGAGTTGTAAAGCAAGAAAGTGTAAGGCAAAGCATCCAGGAAACCAAGAATCTACCTCAGAAGAACCAAATGATGGTTTCCAAATGGCAGCTGGGCAGCTGACCAAAACGTGGCCAGTTCAGTTGAAGCAGGAATACGGAAAGCAATCAAAGGAAGGTCTCCAGGGAAAAAATAAAACTAAGAGCTTATCTGACTTGTCTAAGCATTTGGAATAATTACTGACAGATCTGTTGGAGCATTTGGATAAGTATGTATATATCAAAGCAAACGGGAAAATATGGCCATTATTAACCACAGGAAAAACAAGTTTTACAAAGAAGGAAAGGTAATCATAGTAAACTATCAATACTTTTTTTAAAATTTATTTTATTATTTATTTATTTAGGCTGCGCTGGGTCTTAGTTGTGGCATGAGGGATCTTTAGCTGTGGCATGTGAACTCTTAGTTGCAGCATGCATGAGGGATCTGGTTCCTCAACCAGGGATCTAACCCGGGCCCCCTGCATTGAGAGCAGAGTCTTACCCAATGGACCACCAGGGAAGTACCTAAACTATCAATACGCAGCACAGCAGTGAACAATATTTACATACTCATAATAATGTACATACTGATTATTTAACCCTAAGGGCTGTATTGTGACAG